TTTGTTTTTGCAGCTTGTTACATCATTTGGATTTCCCTACAATGGTAAATTTTCTAGTAACTATTTCATCATATGGTCAATTTTCCCACCTAATCCTTTTGCACAAGCCCTTCAATTGCTTTCTAGTGCAACATCCAGTCCCAAAGATAATGGAATCAGCTGGAGTAAAAGAGCAGAGTGTGGAACAAAGAATATAGGGTGTGAGATGACAATTGTATGTTCACACTTAGCAGCTTGAAAACGAATATTTGACAATTTGGTTCTTATACTATCTCTCTAATTTTATTTTTTTTATTGATTTTATCTCTAATAGATTTAAATGGTTGCATTGATTTTGACAGAACGATGTATATATATGGCTCGTATCAACTTTTTTTCTCTGGTTCTTTTTGGCTATCTACTTTGACAATATCATGCCAAACCCATATGGTGTGAGAAAATCATTATTCTACTTATTGAACCCCGGGTACTGGACAGGAAAAGATGGAAACAAGGTGGAAGGTAATTGAATTTAAAGTTGCACTTTGTTCTACCTAGACCTCTTGATTAGCTAGTATTGGTGGCTAACCTTTATTTTCTGTCATGTTTCAGAGGGAGGCATTTGTAGTTGCACTGGGTCAGTTCCCCCAGTGGAAGATTTAACTCCAGAAGACGAGGATGTTCTTGAAGAGGAAAACATTGTGAAACAGCAAGCAAAGGATGGTGTAGTTGATCCAAACATTGCAGTTCAAATACACGGACTTGTAAAAACATTTCCTGGAACATTGAAGATTGGTTGCTGCAAGTGCAACAAGACTTCACCTTACCAAGCTATTAAGGTAAAGTACCCAGTATGATTTAGATGAGGTTATGGAGGCAAAAGGAATCCCTGGTCCAAATAAGTGCTACGTTGTAATCTTTCAACCTAGATAGTGGTTCCAGGCCTGCTGTTTGTGTTATAGATTACCTTTTCCCTAATTACCCAATATTTGTTGTGCTTGGGATTTCATCCAAAAAAACATAACAGGAAAAGTAATACTCGTTTTTTGTCAGGTCTAAGGGGCCAGATGATGCTCTGATCATAAAAACCATACCGTAGCATTTAGACCTAAATAGAGATGTAGGCCCTTCTGTGGCCCCGTGTTAGTCCCCATAAAGGATCTCCGATCCCCATCCCTAAGTTTGACATGTTCCTCCATTTTTTGCTTGATGGCATACTACAGGTTGAGGGAGGGAAGTTTTTTTCCCTTTAGATTTATTTGTTTTTCATTTTTACAATTTTTTCTTTTCTTTTTTTTTTCTCCGGTTTACAATCACTTTCAGGAACCTCATGCTAAAACACAAGAAAAAGAAGACATACATAACCATATAAGCTGGATGTTACTTTCAGGGATTATGGGTGAACTTCGCGAAGGATCAACTTTTTTGTCTTCTTGGATCAAATGGAGCTGGAAAAACTACTTCTATTAATTGCTTGACTGGAATTACACCAGTGACGGGTGGAGATGGTAATAGCTTTTTTTCCATGTATTCCTATTCATCATATTGTAATTTGTTAGGATACAGGTAGGTGGAATCTAACTGTACCATGAATTGTCTCTTTTACAGCATTAATATATGGACATTCCATTCGAAGCTCTGTTGGGGTGTCGAGCATTCGTAAAATGATAGGAGTTTGTCCTCAGGTAACTTCTTTGGTTTTCCAAGAACATAAATATATTTAATTGTCCAGTTTAGCAACTTAACATTCGCAAAAGAAGACGCTAAGTTTTATATTTCATAGTTTGATACCCTTTGGAATGCATTGTCTGGTCTAGAGCACCTCCACCTCTTTGCCAGTATTAAAGGACTGCCCCCTGCTTCAATTAAATCGGTGAGTGCTACACAAATCTAAAACTGGTTTTCAAGCTTCTTGGTTTTTTAGGTCTTCTTCCGTAATTCTCTCTGTAGATTTTAAAGCAATAAAGATATTACTATCATGCTGGATGAGCTCACTCAATCGGAGTTGAACTTGACGACTCAGGTTGCAGAGAAATCATTAACAGAAGTGAGACTCATCAAGGCAGCCAAAATGAGAGCTGGTAGCTATAGTGGAGGAATGAAACGCCGCCTCAGTGTTGCAATAGCCCTCATTGGTGATCCAAAGTTAGTCATTTTGGATGAACCGGTATGCATATTAGAAAACTTGGTTCACTAATTTGCATTCATTTACTTCATCTGGTGACACACAAAGTTTCCTATATCCTGCAGACTACGGGGATGGATCCAATTACTCGGAGGCACGTTTGGGACATAATCGAGGAGTCAAAGAAAGGGCGTGCCATTGTCTTAACTACACACTCGATGGAAGAAGCTGACATTTTAAGTGACCGTATAGGAATCATGGCAAAGGGAAGACTTCGCTGCATTGGAACCTCAATTAGGTTGAAGTCACGGTTTGGACCTGGTTTTATCACCAACCTAAGCTTCTCCAGGAGCACTAACGGAACTCCCGCAGGAGGAGATACCTTTACTACAACACGGCATGAGGCTGTGAAACAGTTCTTTAAGACCGTATGTTGCTTGACAGAATTTGTTTAAATTATGTTCTTTAAGCTTCAAATGCTTGCGTTTGACATGGGGATTATTTTGACAGCGTTTGGATGTGGTGCCAAAAGAGGAGAACAAGTCTTTCCTGACCTTTGTTATACCCCATGATAAGGAGGGGCTGTTGACGGTAAAACACCTCGACTTCTTTAAACTGTTAAAATTCTTCTTGGTTTGTCTTGACCGAAGCTTTAAATTAATTAAACTACAGATCGTGGAAGTGACATTAGTTTAGGAAGGTAAAACGTACTAGCATCTTCACCAAAAATGTGGTGAACTTATTTAGTTTTACATCTCATACAATGGTGGACCACCATAGAACGCATTTCAGAACTCTACTACATTAAGTTCATCCAATGATTATATTATAACCGTGCACTAAATAAAATTTTCATTCTGTAAGTCAACACTTGTGGGAAAATCAGTTCGACTTAACCATGTGATATGGAGAAAAGTAGATCAATTACTCTTTTCCCACAAACTCAATACCGTTGTTTGCTGCTTTTGATTCTGCATCATTAGATTTCCTCTGCAAAATGGAGGTTATTTCTTTTTTCTGTTTTATTGAGTTTATTTTATGTTATTTCTTGTGGGAAAGGGAAGGTGGAGGATGGGGGTGGAGGTGTCAATAGAGATGCTGGTTTCTGCATGTATTCCACCACTCCTTTTTATAGTGTTTGACACCGACTTCTGAATATATATATATGTGTGTGTGTGTGTGTGTGCATATGTATTTATTTTGATTGGTTGACTCTGATTCCTAATTAATATGGTATTAATTCTAAAAAAATTATTTATATTTATCTTGCTTATTTTCTTCATGTCACAGTATTTACTTGCAACAAAAATCCATTCAGTTGTGGAATATGTTTTGACATCACAAGTAATACAGTATTATTCATAAAGATCAGTGTTTTATTTTTCTTTTTTCTTACTTGTCCTCTTTTGGTTGTGGATTCTTCGTGTCAGAACTTCTTTGCAGAGCTCCAAGGTAGAGAGAGAGAATTCAATATATCAGATATCCAACTCGGTCTGACAACTCTCGAAGAAGTTTTCTTGAATATTGTGAAGCAGGCGGAGCTAGAAAGTGCTTTGGCTGAGGGAAGATTGGCAACTCTGACGTTAACATCGGGAGCTTCAGTACAAGTAAGAATGTCACCGATTTGCACAACTTCTGTTGCATAGTAAGCTACTTTACAAACAAATGAATTGACAATCATTCCCTAATGATGTTCTCTTTTCCTTAAACGATAATGCAGATACCGGTGGGCACAAGGTTTGTCAGTATCCCGGGAACAGAATCTGAAGAGAATCCGAGTGGGATTATGGTAGAAGTATACTGGGACCAGGATGATTCTGGTGCACTCTGCATTTCCGGCCACTCACCTGAAACTCCAATACCACCTCACGTTCAACCAACGGGTTCTTCAACCGACACTTCCCAAAAGAATGGCCGAGATCAAACAGGACCAGCTCGTGGAATCGTGATTGATCCTAATCAAATCGGTGCAGCAAATTCTTAATTGATCCTAATCAAATCGGTGCAGCAAATTCTTAAAGATATATGAGCGCCTGCAAAAGCTACAGGAGTTGCACATTCGTCCATTCATCAAATTAAAGATAAAAATCTGTCCTTAATAGCTATTTGATTGTACACCAAATCATCTTGACTGTACACAGAAGTCGATTCATATTGAACACATCTTCCAAATTGTCTGAGCTAATCGAGCATTTGCATAACATATGATCCACCATCTCTGCTGAGAAACTACACATTTTACAAGTTTCTTGATTCACAATTCCTTTCTGTTTTAAGATTGTAGTACACCGGTAATTGTTCATATTGTAATATACCAGTAATTGTTCATCAGTGACTCGTCTTCCACTCGTAACTGTCGTGCCAACTTTGCTAAAAGGGCTAAGTTGAAAGTCTCAAGATCTTCAAAGTATTACAACTTATATTTTTGGTACTCATGCCACCAAATTTATTTTTTTTTTTGTTTTGTTTTTTGTATTTTTGCTTAATTTTTACAGGTGTGTACAATTAGTGATTCACTAAAACATCATATTCACCTTAAGACAACACAATATTTACCTTGGGAAAACTCAATCTCAAATCTATACATTCTCTTTTATTTACATGAAATTTCTTCTAGTATTGTAATTCTGTAATTCTATGGAGTCACAGGCTCAGGAACAATACAATCACAGCCTTGGATTATTATTATTATTATTTTTTTTTTTTTTTTTTTTTTGACTTGAACACAGACACACCTGTTCGGGGAGCTGGGCGCTTTACCAAGCCATGTGTAATGCCCCACATCCTGGGAATTCAGAACATTTGGGAAGTTCCAACTTCAGTTTTATGTAGCTGTTATCAGTAATAAACTGCTGCGTTATTTGTCCAAATAAAGGAGAAATCCAATCACACAATATAATCTCAATAATCAATCAACTTGCATAATAATTCATGTCAACAAGTTCAACAACTTAATAAGAAGGGCAAATGTATTTTATATACATATAGATTGCACAAAAAGCCTCAAGTCATGTTAGCAACAACCAACTGTGGAACTAATTCAATTTGCAGTTTAGGGCAATGCCGAAGCCTATGATATACACACTCACTTTAGAAACACCTCAAATACAATTGGAAAACCAGGAATGGCTCTTGGAGCACCACACACGTATCATCACAAGTACAAGTTTCAGTTTAAACAATATTATCACACACCACAAAGGCAAACTGGATAGCAATGATGGATTTATTCTCCTTTTCAACAACGAATCTCGGTCTCAAAATCATCGTCGCCATTCTGCTTGGATCAACTTCACTGGAATCAAAAGAATATTCGAAGAAAAGATAATCATTAGAAGTAAACAATTAAGCAATTGTCAAACATTACATAAGAGGCTGGAACTTTTTACAGGTTTTCAACAAGTTGCTATTTTAAAAAATGGGAGGAAGGCCTTGGCGCATCGGTAAGATTGATACATTATGACCTGGAAGTCACGGGTTTGAAACAAAAAACAGCGTATCCATATGTAGACGGTTATGTTGTGTAGATTTAACCCTCTTTAATCCCCGCAATGGGGGAAGTCCTATGCATTGGGTTAGCCTTTTTTACTATTTAAAAAAAAAAAAATGAGAGATGTTGCATTTAAACATAGAAAATGGTTTAATGCATAGAATAGACCATTTCATGTACCGAGTGTTGACCAGATTTCTAGATTCTGAAGAAACTTACCCTACCAGAAATCCACCAGACTAACTGTTCAAATTGGACTGAGCTTCCTATCAAGGTTGAAACGTTGGCACTCTAATTTGGGAACAACAGAACAGAAAGTTATGGAGAGAGAGAGAGAGAGAGAGAGACTATTACTTGTGTGTTACAGAGCAAGCCATTTCCAATGTAAACTATTGCCTAAAAAGTGCTTCAAGTGTGAGAACTCATGGTGGTGTCGGAGCACATACTTTAGCAAACAATGCCAAAGGTTACTAGTTTATATCTGGTCTATTTCTCCCAGCATTCAGCATAGGTGGGACCAATAATGCTGGTCATTGCCTAAAGTCGACCTAAAAGTAACACTCGGACTTGAAAAACATTATTGCAGTCCACATGAATTAAAGAATTAAAATTTCTGATGAAATATGTCATTTCTTACCATTTACATTTCCCCCTTTTCCACTTGCTTGAACTGGTCTTTGTACCCTTGGTGATGGTGAATTCTTTTTGCCGTTAATTGAAGAGGAGAGAGAATGACGCCTGATATTATGCTTCTCAGCCTCATCTTGACTGAGCATTGGGGAGCCTTGCCCTCTCAGTTTTGCCTTTGCGGATTTGGTTGCTGCCATATAACTTGGCACCATTGACCTGCTCCGTACCCCATTGTCTGAACGTTCTTGCTTTGCTGAAACAGAAGTTTTTCTGCTGTATTTCTGGTTCTCATTGTCAGTAAAATCTTCCCTGGAGTTTAAACCGCCATCTGTCTCAGGAACAGTCTCGTATTCTACTCTGTTTTCTAGCGGCTCTGATCGAACTGCAGTTTGATCATCACACAGCAAACCACTCGCCTCATTCATTATTGGCAATTCCGTTTTTGTTTCTAAATCGGGTGATTTGGGCACGACCACAGTTGTCTCTATTTCCATCTTCTCAGCAGAACCACTCAAGCACTGGTCTGAAACAACTTGACCTGAAGAGCTCAAAGCCTTATCCTTGTTGTCCTTTGACTTCTTACTGTCTTCTTCAGCCTGAACATTGCCCTCCATTACAGGGGTGTGAACCCTCCTTAGATTACGTTTAGCCTTCTCAAGCTCATTGTGTGGATGTTCCTGCACTGAATCTGGATGGCTTGAGACTTTCCTCAGGGTGCGCCTTGATTTCACAAATTCAGTGGTTGATTGTGTTGATACATTGTCATTGTTCGTAGCAGGGATCCTCGGGATGCTATGCTTCATCCTTCCTTTTTCAGTGCTTACAGTTTGAGAGTTATGCTGCTTCTGGGATTTTGAGCCAGTAACTTTCTTTGGTTGGGGAACTGGTTTCCAGAAGAGGGATGCTGACCAGCACTCTAGCCAGTTCAAGAGTGAATTTGGTTCTGCTGAATCATATTGGATTTGCAGGGGCATCACAGTAGGTGATGAAGCAATAAGCTAAAGAGAAAAACCAGGTAGTCACATGCCCGATATTAAAGCAAGGGGTTGAAAAGGAAGAGCAGCGATCAAATGGAATAAAACATAATTGTAATTTGCACACGTTGCTGTCAATAAAATGCTATTGGGACGGTTAAACTTCCCTGATCCAAATTTTTAGGTGCTGCAACAAAATTAAAGGCTAACTTATTAATTTTATAAGTTGACAATTGCTTGGTGCAGTTGAAAAAGCCCATGTCACAAAGCACAAGAACACATGTTCGAGTGTAAGGGCGTGCACTTCACGCAAATAATGCCAAAAGGTAGGTCTATCTCCAGTCCATTTCTAATAACACCCAATTAATAACAGGAACCAACACTAAGGCCTTTATGAAGCTGTGCATCATACGGAGATATCATCTCTGGAAATCAGACAAGAAATAAGTTCATTAAATCCTAATTAGGATGCCACAATTACTAACCCATGAGATGTCAAGCCATGATGGTTTTGGACTACCACAAATGTCCAAAAATCCTCATAAGAGAATAATAGGAAGCCCAGAATACTTTCTAAGACGATCGATACAAAATTAACCATTTACGTTTTGAACTTAAAAGGTAAAAAAAGAAGGTATCACCAGAGCGCATAATCAATCAATGATTCTTACGTGGCAGAACAAACTCCATCAAGCACTTTTCCTCGTATGTTAAATAATTCATTGAAAGGACTAATTGCATGTGGTAGCCATTACATAACATCATTAGAGCATAATACAAACATCTTTTAATTATATGATCTACTCATATAGTAGCCCAATCCGTGACTGGTTCAAAATAAAAGAACTTCCATGACTATATCTTCGGACATGATATGATGCAGAACTTACCTTACAAATAAGAGCATTTTCTGACAGCTTTGCTATCTGTGCAGATGTACTGACTGCAACAGGATCCACAAGCTTGCTTTCCTGATGCAAAGATGTGTATAAATATTACAAGCTAGAACTGAAACATGCAACAAATTTTGTAATTATAACTCTGTACTCAAAAGAAAGCAATGCAAGGTATAAACTCAACAAAACTCCTAATATCTGAGGATCAGTAAAGCTTGACCAATTTTTTTGTCTGCTACCTGCCCAATGCAACCCTACCCCAAATTTTCTAGATTTAGGACCAACAAGGTGAAGCATTACCACTTTTCAGTATGTTTATCTAATTCCTCCTCCAACCCAAAAAGAAAGAGATAAACATAGAGTGAACATCTGTGGCCTTTTTGGCTTATTGGAAAAAAAATATAGAGTGGAGACATGCTTCAAAATAGTAAATAAATAAGAAGCAGGTGTGTGCTTCCATTTGTTTAGTAGATAAGACGTCCATCAAAGAGCAACGAGGCCTCTCTTTGCAATGCAAGGCTAGGAAGCATTTTTCACTTTTGCACCCCATAGACTACAATCCAGATAAATAATTAAAATACAGAGTAGGTGCTACAAGACCGGATTTGAGCGAGGTCAGGAGTTTAAGAACTCCTTGGATTGTTAATGGCACTATACAAGTGGCACCCAGCTAGCATGTAAGGTTTAAAAATGGAGATTGAGTAATTGATAAATTGAAAGTCAAAATAAAAGAACACGTTGAACTTATTTATTTTTTTCTCATGGGATGCTGAAAAAAGAATTGGAGCTCATAATCTCAAGCCTTTGCTTACAATGTAAAAGGATACTACACCAAATTTGTTCAAAATAATGTACACTGAAAACTTATTGATCATCTTGCATAATTGTCACGAGCAGAGTTGTAACTCTAAATACATAATCGGAACTAGATACATATAACACATCCAATCTAAGAAATTAAGATGATGAAAAAACAAAAGGAAAAAGTTCCATAAATTTAACAAGTTTGATGGTTTGAATCATCCAATTATTTTAATTCTTATATATAAACAATTTCATCCATACAGATCATGAACATGCATATATTCACCCGTTTAGATGAGCCAGATGTCCAACCAAAGAGCGTAACTATAGAGGATTTTCCAATGATCATGAATGCACTTTCTTTGCTGACAGATTTTATGATAAAAATGGCTAGTAATGGACTACTAAAAATGTACTTCAAGAGGTTACCATAGGCTCCATTAGAATGCACTTTCTTTGCACTTCAAGGCCGATATCAGAATGCCTTATTTTTCTACCACGAGCAAGGGCCTGTAACTTCACAATTCCCAACATACAGTGTAGAGTAGAAACAGCTTGCCTCCTCACCAAGTGCCCGCGAACAAGCGCCTGCAACCTTATTATGCCTTTGAGGGCCCGAAACGCTCGACGAGCCTTCATATAGATTACTTGCATCAGCACTAATATACTTTCAAGTAAAAGCCACCAAATTGTTCATAAAAGGAGAAGAAAGAAACTGGAGCATACATAAGAAACATTTTTAATAGTCAGACGTCGATCAATGTAATGGAGACAAACAATCAAAGCCAGACAATTGATGCAACAACAAAACACCAGCACTGCTGCTTAAAAATCTATAAATTGTATAAAGCTATAAATATAGATACTTTTGTCAGTACAGTAAGCCAAAGGAGGCTACTATCCAGCCTATAGACTGCATTTGGAAAACATTTAAGCACTAACGAGAAGTTGCCTAAATGCAGGAGGCTTCCACTTGGCACTTGGGACACATGCATCCGCCAGACCACCCTTAATGCACCTGTGTCAAGGCCCTCAGTAATCAACTATGTCACATGTACTCTTCAAAAATTCGTGAAATACCCGTTTCGAGCACACAATACCCAAACATGGGTGGGTCCAAGAAATTTGTCTGACAGTTTTAGTTGGATATACATATGACAATTATTCAAGTTTAATATACAATCTTGAATTTTCTATAAAACTCTTATAATGTTCCTTTTACTACATTATCATTTCAAAACAAATGAAAACACTATTTTACTCCGAAAAAATAAAAGAAAACAGTAAATAATATGCATATTTAGCCATCTTATGCATTTATCAATATGATGTGACCTTTGCATGAATTTACATAATTGTGTAACAGATTCTTTCATGAAGAGAGTTTTATGCAATTAATTGGAAGGTGATCCAAATATGAAATTCAGAGTACCAATTGCATAGAAGATCAAAAAGTGTAATGTTAGTAAGCTAAAGGTTGCTATACTTATTATGAAATTTGGAGTTACATCCTACGACTACTCTACATGCATTATGCCATATTGGCAAAGGATTGGGTCTTTATAATAGGTCTAATCTCATATCAAATGAGGCTAAAGCAACAAAGAACCTCACAAAGTTTTAAATGCACTAACACACACACAAACACACACTTTTATGCTCCGTTTGGTTGGAGGGATGGAAAAATGGATGGAAGGGAGAGGGGGAGGGATGGATGAACTACTACTATAGAACGGAAAGTGTCTCCCTCACTTTTTTGTTTGGTTGAATGGAAAGGATAAGAGAAATGATTGATGAGTGACAAATTTTTTTGCTTGGTTGGAAGGAAGGAAATTGGAGTTTTTATATATTTCTACTAATATACCCTCATTAACCAAATAACGAAAATTACAGACTTTAACATTATGCATATGACAATTACAACACAATAAAACAATGTAATCAAATTTAGAACCAAATTTAATTCATCCTTAAAAAAAAGAGACCAATTTATTTATTCATGTGAATGAAGAAACCAAGTTTAGTACCAAAACAAACAAAATAAAGTTGAATGAGTAATTCAAATCCTGCTTCAAGAAAGGAAATTAAAAAGACTTCAGTTTGATCTATGTCTTGGATTTGCTTCGGCAACTTCGGCAAAACTCACAACGTCGATATTGTTTATGTGAGGGAATTGTATTAGGGTTAAAATTGATGAAGGATAAAATATGTCATTTTGTAAATAAATAAAGGTTATAATAGGTAATACAAATTTATAAGTTGATCATGGCTTCTTCCCTTCCTCTCTTCCACCCAATTTTAGGTGGATTAAAAATGAGCAGTTAGGAGCGGTTAGGTGGGATGTTTCATCCCTCTTTGCTTCCTCCCTCCCTTCCCTTCCCTCCAACCAAACAAGCCAAGACTCTCCCATCCCTCCTCTCATCCATCCCTCTTCAATCCTCCCCATCAAACAGACACAGCTTTAGAGACTCACATGATATCTTGGAACCATGCATAAGTATGGATACATGGGGTGGTGCCTAACACCTTCCCCATGTAAAATCTGACATCTAAATCCATTAATCTAGTTTGTTGGACCATGTCATCATATAGGGCCATTTCATTCTACTCAAATCACAAACTTTAGGTCACCTAGCATACCAAAATTCGATGTTAGGTGGAGACTCCATGTTCCTTAGACCCTGTCCACATTTTGTCACATTTAAAGTCTTTTTTTCCCAGTAACACCCTCATTCATATCATCTACATCAACATTCTCCATGCAAGGATGTTGTGGGAAAAATTTGGGCGCGACAGCCACCATGATAACAAAATGAAACCATCATTTTTAAAGCTCCCTCTTTACCGTTATAAAGTCTTCTATTTCAATCTTTCAAGAAGCCCAAAAAATCAAAGCAACATGACTCAGCCTTCAAACCTGGACCTTTGACATCCTACTTGTCAACTATCTCCCAAAGACAATCTTGTATCACCTTATAAGTCATAAGCCTGCCTAAGAATTTTAATAAAATATAAAAAGGATGAAAAAAAAAGTACCATTCTGGTTTTAAAAAAATCTTAGAAAGAGAGGATTATAGCACACAAGAATCAGTATTTATCCAATCCCATTAGGATCAAGTTATCTGCCCATTTTAGTGACAACCTATCACGCAGAAAAGAAAATCAGTTTTTGCATAAGTAGTGACACTCGAACAGAATCAAATTACCATGCAATTCTTGAACTGCCGGCAATAAATCCAAACACGAGAATGCCTTCCTTGGATAAGAAACACATTGGAGTGCCAGATCTGAAGACTTTGAATTAGAGATTGCCTATCATTAACAAGTTTAGCTTCGTGATCATTAATACTTAAATCGGCTCAGTTCTTTGCATTTCGTGACGATCTCCGAAGCCACTTCGTCAGTGGTTTCGGAGACTTGGCGGAATTGGCATTTGTCAGTTGGGATAATTGTTTGAAGCAAGGGATGGATTGAGAACTGGAATGGTGGAGAGAGAGTGAGTGAAAAGGAGAGGTGAAATGATGGGGCAAGGCTGTGAATTAGGGTTTTGAGTGAGGATTTTGCAGATTTGAACCCTAATTTTGGTGCAGATGACAGAAACTCTTTGACGGAGATCTGGAGGGATGAGTGAAGTCTCTTCCCCATTAAAGCAGTCACTGATTTTCTTATATTTCTTGTATATCTATACATCAATATATCTATATGGAGATTTTTATGCAGAAGACGGCTGTAGGAGAGAGAGAAAATAGAGATGGGGAAGAAGAGAGAGGTGGTGTGGTGGTGGAGACGGTGGTGAAAGACGTGGTTGAGAGGAGAGAGAATGGAGAAGGGAAGAAAGAGAGAAGAGAGAGGAGAGAGGAGAGGGGAGTAATTAAAATGGTGGGCATAATCGTCAAAGGGGGTTAGTGAAACTTTAAAGTTTCACCCATGTGTAATTAATCCAAACCTCAAGGGAGGTCAGTGTACTTTACCCTTAAATAAATAAATGATATTGTTGTGTTATAAACTATAATTGCGATCATTTAAAAATCAATTATTGTTAGTTAAATTGGACAACTATTTGCCCCCCTCCATCTATTTTTGGCTTAGCACACCCTGATGTATAAGAGCCTTGGATAATGATCCCTTATTTCTCAGCACAAAATATGTTTTATGCATAGAGATGCTGAACAACAGAGATGCCCTTGCATAAAAATTGTTGATAGTACAGAGACTCAAGAAATGGTGATTCATTTTTTTACTATCACAGCAGCATTAAATTGCCACTTCACAAAGAAACAAGCCAAGCAATTGAAATCCAAAACCCGTAGTCCAACAACAAAAATACTGCTTTGAGTAAGAGAAAGTTACCAAAAATTCCCTAAAAGCAGCCTGAACAGTTGTAGCAGCTCTCTCTTTTCTGATTCTTTCAGGATCTTCCAGAGCATCTAGTTGTTCTTGTGTATCTGCATCTTGATTCCACAATAATATCTCCCCTTCAAAAGGTAAATTTGCAGTTGTTCTGTTTTCTTCCAACTTCTCTTCATTTCCGTCAATGGTGTTCATAGCTAAATCCGAAGCCATGGGAGGATTCAAACCCTGATCAGCTTCTGGTGCCTCAGCAGCAACCAACACCACTGTCTCATTTCCTAGTTTCTTCACAGAAGAATCAAGTACCAATGAAAACTTGCATATGCTAATACTTCTGATATGTATGCAAATCTGATTTAGTTGAAGCAATAGCTTTATAGGAAATAATATTTTCCTTTAAAAAAATATATGTTGAAACTAATGAACCATAGAGTATCAATTGGCAAAAAGCCCATTAGAAATACGCAATCTAACTAAATTCAGCACATTTTGAAGCCACAACCCAACCAAAATTTAGCTGTTCAATGAACAATTTTCTAGTAGCTGAAGACATAGTCGAATGTACTATATAGAAAAACCATAAGGTTCTCCATCATAAGCAAGTATGACGATGAGACGTAGAAAAATATTAATAATGAACATAAGCCCCTCTATTAGCTAACCAGGTAAGAAATTTGTAAAACAAATTAGAAAATCTAATATCTGAGGTTGTATCTTCTCCAAAAGAAATTTCAGTTTTAAACAGATGTGATATATATTGTCTCCAGGAGTATGGAAAATCATGTAGCATATGCAGTACGTAGTTCACTAATACCTCTCTTCCTTTAGAAAAACTAGATTTGGAAATTTAGCCGCTCAATGAACAATTTTCTAGTAGCTGAAGATATAGACAAATGTAAAATATAGCAAAACCATAAGGTTCTCCATCATAAGCAAGTATGACGATGAGATGCTTGCCAATCTGTACCAACATAGGAGGCTATGAAAATGTAGAAAGCTAAATTCTACAAAGGCAGCTGATTATTTGTTATTGGTAGAAAAATATTAATAATGAATATAAGCCCTCTAGTAGCTAACCAGGTAAAAAATTTGTAAAACAAATTAGAAAATCTAATATCTGAGGTTGTATCTTCTCCAAAAGAAATTTCAGTTTTAAACAGATGTGATATATATTGTCGCCAGGAGTATGGAAAATCATGTAGCACATGCAGTACAAAGTTCACTAATACCTCTCTTCCTTTAGAAAAACTAGGTTTGGATGGTTTCTTCCCATGGAGAAGGGTTTTGATCCATTTGCCTGGTGATTTGCCCATTGCAAAGAGGCAAGAATTGAAAAACAAAGCAACCTGATCCCACTCCCTGCATTAATTCATATGATTGCAGTTCAAATATATGTGATCTGAAGTGGAGATATGAAAAATATTGAAAAATATAGACATAATCTAAAACACAAAAGGAGATTGAAAAACTTGAAGATACCATGTAAAGTAGAAAATATGATACAAAACCAGCTAGATACCAAAGGAACGACATGTTAAAAGACTGAAAAGATTAAACCAATCTAACCCGCATTCATATCAACAGCCCAAGGCTATTTTTAGTGTTTCTATGAATGAGATTATCTTTTTCCTTCTTTTTTTCTCTTTCCATTTACTTTTCTTGTTTTAGCTGGTTATGGTAACAACGCATTATGTAATACCATTCATGAGGAATTCTTATTAAATTGATTTTTCCCCGCTTCAACGCAAATCTTGATACGTGAGGCGTATGATTGAGTGCAACAATAAGAATCACTATGAATCCCATTGGCAATCTGCGCTGAATTTACTAGAAGTGATATTGATTCTAGTAATAAGCTATTATACTTGTGTCATACTTAGTGTCCTACCCTAACACAGCTGATCCAAGAACTAGAGAAAGGAAGAGGGTCGCATTAGGTAAGTAACAACCCATGTCAAACCTTTGTCATGCCTTTATTAGCATGAATCATAGCATTGCATTTTGAAGTATGGAATCAACATCTTTGAATTGGACGGAGAAAAAATAGTATAAAGTTTGAACTAAATTTTCTTCAATTCAACTTCCTAAACACCAAACCATTGCTCCCAAACTCAGCTTAATAGATTTCGAGTAAATAATAGTGTTTCATCAACTCTGCATGCTTTAGAATAATGGGCAATGGAAGTCGCTTTGGTGCCCGGATGTGGTGAAAAGTAGGCAAAGGTTCCCACGCTATTCAAGATAAGCATGGTGAAATGTCAAAGACCCAAAAGAATATAGGAAAACCGTGAGCAGGGGTCAACCAAATATGTAGAATGTAGATCCTTTTATACTGCTCATGGCGCGCCCCCCTTTTGAGCACTTTTAATGAAATCTTACCCATTAACAAAATAAATAAATGGAATGTCAATGACCTAAAGGAATATGTCTCCTTTTTGAAAAATGTGTTATATTTTGTTACTAATTATCTAATTTTAATCGTAATTAATCATTCAATCATCAACCAATCATGCAATTGACCAAACAAAAATAAAAATGAAGACAAATTTTAATGTAAGAACCTAACTACGAAAAACCACGAGATCTAGTCCATATGCTAACTGTTGAAGATTTACTGGATGAATCGGTGGTGGAAAATCCTCCATTATTGATGCTCTTTCCTATTATTGAAGATTTTACTGTTACTAGAGGAATCAGTGGAGAATAATCCTCTAGTATTGATATTGTTTCCAATTTTCTATCTCTTTCCATTATCATCATTTCTTCTCCTATATAGAGGAGCCTCCACCATTGTATTGAGTATGAAAAAGAGAGCTTATAACAAAAGTGATGTAGCCCTTGGGGCTTTGTGTGTCGTGGTTCAGCCCGAACCACATATATTCTTGCCTTGTGTTCTTCATACTTTGTTTCTCTGTGCATTTTTAACATGGTATCAAAGCAAACAACGTTCTGTATTATTTTCTCTCTTTTCATCAGACCCATTTTTGGTTCTCTTCTTTGATCTACGGAACCATTTTTATTGAGGCCGTCTTCTTACACCTCTTCATCAATTGAGGCTGCAGCTACTCATCCCGGATCTCTGGATCCATTTTTATTGAGGTCATCTTGTTACACCTCTTCAACATTTGCAATTGCCGCTACTTGTCATCTCAATGGCAAGTTGGACATTCATGCCATTCGTGCTCCAACTTAAGCGGGAGTGTTGAAGATTTACTGAATGAATCAGTGGAGGAAAATCCTCCAGTATTGATGCTCTTTCCTATTATTGAAGATTCTACCGTTACTAGAGGAATTAGTGGAGATATTGATATTGTTTCCTATTTTCTATCTCTTTCCATCATCATCATTTTTTCTCCTATACAGAGGAGCCTCCACCATTGTATTGAGCATGACAAAGAGAGTTTATAACAACAGTGATGTAGCCCTGGCTTTGTGTGCTGTGGTTCAGCCCTAGTAGCTGAACCACGTATATTCTTTCCTTGTCTTCTTCGTACTTTGTTTCTCTATTCATTTTTAACATGGTATCACAGCAGACAAGGTTCTATATTATTTTCTCTCTTTTCATCAGAGCCATTTTTAGTTCTCTTCTTGGATCTTCGGATCCATTTTTATTGAGGTCGTCTTCTTACACCTCTTCATCAATGAGGCTACTACTACTCGTCCCAGATCTCTGGATCCATTTTTATTGCAGTCATCTTGTTACACCTCTTCATCATTTGCACTTGCTACTACTCGTCATCTCAATGGCAAGTTGGGCATTCAAGCTATTCATGCTCCAACTTGAGAGGGAGTGTTGAAGATTTACTGGATGAATCAGTGGAATAAAATCTTCTAGTATTGATGCTCTTTCCTATTATTGAAGATTTTATCATTGCTAGAGGAATCAATGGAGGATAATCCTCTAGTATTGATATTGTTTCATAATTTCTATCTCTTTCCATTATCATCATTTATTCTCCTACATAGAGGAGCCTCCACCATTGTATTGAGTATGAAAAAAAGATTTTATAACAAAAGTGATGCAGCCCTTAGGGCTATTCATTTTTAACACTAACCAATCCACTATGCAAGACAGAAGCACAACAACAGCATTAATTACTTTAATTTACTTTCTCCAATGTGATTATGTGTTGCACAACTCGCACCTCTCATTTTTTCTGTAACTCCCTCATAGGCAACAACCACACTCATACTACCACAAACCCTTATGAGTAATGAGCACAAGCCTTTAGTCTTTTGAATATATGATGGTAGAAACTGCCATTACTCGTTCTTCATGCAAATTGACAACAAGATCAACTTGAGGAACACAGGCTAGATTTTTGAAGGTTCTCGCAAATCTATCATGTAAAGACATTATGCGTTGGCAAAGTCCTTAAGAATTTTGTAATTGTGGAGTTTGAATAGAATGTCAAAATGAATCCATGATTGTCAACCTGCCAAGGATTTTCAGCATACAAGGGAAGATTGGTGATTGAAGACAGAGATATAAAAAGAGTCCATGTCTCCAAATATTTTTAGCACAGACATTATGTGTTGACAGTAACAATTAAGCATGAGACAAGAACAGATCCCCATTAAAACATGTGTTGAATCCACTGAACACCTCCAATAAAACACCAATTCAACCACTAACCCCAATATACGTCCACTTAATGAATTTGTGGTCACGCATAGTGCGACAAATACTGCAAATTCAACTAATTGATCTCAACACACACACACACATAAAATTCAAGCAAAATGCAGAAGCAAATAGATATAAGATCATTATAGAATCCCTATAACCGACCAGGATCTGTTAAATGCTACAACAAATATAAAAGAAAAATGTAGGAATAGATCAACAGAAAATAACAGAAGAGGGGGGATCGGATCAATCTTACCTGAGAAAATGCAATCCCTCCAAACCCTAAATCCACCGTTCCTGAAAGTACAAAGCACTACACATGTTCAGACCAACCGAAGAAAATACACAAAATACACATTGAATATATTATAGAAAGTGTGTAGAGGAGAGGGATATAGAGAGAGAAAACAAATGCACAATGACTGAACTTGCAAATTAAGGGAATGCAATGGGGCTCTCCATCCCCACACACGCACCCTCTGTGCTCTCTACTGAACACTGATAGGAAAAAGATACCTACAGAGAGAGGGGAATGTATTAGAAGAGAGCAACCTCGTGGTATGAGGTGAGAGGTCTTTAATCTGACCGACTGATTGAGATCAATCTTGATTTATGAGTAAAACAGACGCTTGATATTTAGAGATGAGAGGGCTGACGGTGAGCTGGCGGCGTAGGGGAATTCGATGTGAAATGATGTGTGCGCTGGCAGTGTGTAAAGAGCAGTTACTTCGGTGGAAAGTGTCCCCCTGCTTCTTTCTGAATTATGATGAAGTTACTTTTTTGCCCTCGCCTGCTCTACCCACGCGTGTTAGCAGGCGTTGGACGGAAAGACGTGAATTACACACGCGGGGGTGACGTTAACCGACGACCAATGCCCGTCGTTTTTGGATTTGAATCTTTCTGACGGTGCTTTTTAAAAGCCTGGTCATTACATCATTTGTTTGAATAACTAAAATATCTTATCCCCTCGAGTTGAACAACTAATATTATGAAATTTACTCTAATATTATGAAATTTAGACTTATACTCCGTAATGTATTTGCTAGAGATGATGATTTTTTTTTTTTTTTTTTTTTTTTGATAACAAGCCAGAGATGATATTGACCCCGGAACAATAGACTTAAAAGGACTCTTGAACAATTGCCCGAAACTAAACCCAATTTCATAACAAACCTGCAAGTGGACTCAACCAAAAATTTACCGAAAGCTGACCAAGTCTAAACCAAACCATCTTCACCTCCCAACCTGTTTTCAAAATTAATCCTAGTAAAAATGCTTCTTAACGAACTTTTTCCTTAAGATTTTGAATTTGACCTCTATTTGTTTCATTGTAAAATATTTTTCAAAAAGTCTAAACCAAACCATCTTCACCTCCCAACCTTGAGTTTTCAAAATTAATCCTAGTAAAAATGCTTCTTAACGAACTTTTTCCTTAAGATTTTGAATTTGACCTCTGTTTATTTCATTGTAAAATATTTTTCAAAAATTATTTTTTTTAGGGCGGATTGACTTCTGCCTTGGATTTACATACTTTGAATCGACTCTCATTTCCTTATAGAGTCTACGGGGTCGGGATTGGGGGTCGAGCCGAGGATGGCGATCCGGCTTGGCGAAAGCCTAAAAGAAAAAAGGGAAGTGCCGAGAATAAATGATCGAATACCTATCGAGAGGTATCCAAAACTCAAGATTCGCGGCCAAGAGAATGGATTGGTGGATAGCTCCTGTAGGCAATGGAGTCTTTCTTCCAATAGGTCGAAAACAACAAGGCAATGATTGGAGAGGTAGAGCCTAAACTTTTTAGTCCACATCGGATCAAGACCCACGTGAATTTCGAACAACCAAAATAGCACAATGAGGCTTATTGAAGAGGGGTTGTTGGGATAAAATCTGCTAATTGGTCAAGGATCTCCTGGAGTATCTGGTCGTTGAAGGCTCACGGCGCGAAACTCTACTCCTATTCTCCTTTCTTTTCTTGTATCATCTATACCGAACAAAGAAAATTCGTTCGTTCTTTTCCATTTTCTCTCCACACCTCTTCCTTCCTTCTTACTGAACAAACATTAAAAAAAAGAGTTGATTGTGTGTTATATTCCTTTTTGATGAGAAACACTGAAAAAATAGAGAGTTATTTGTGTGTACAACTAATTTAGAAAATATTTTACGCACATTTGCCAAACACCGAAAAATAAAAATTAGAAAGAAAATTTTATATGAAAATATTTTGTTTAGAAAAATATTTTACATCAAAATAAATGGGAAATCAATCCGTGAATGAACAACCTCAATTCTACTCCAAGCATTGTTGTAGACACTTTTTGATTATTAGGATCTGATAACCAATTTTTTTTTTTTTTTTGCATTGGTTAAGTATAGGTTTGGCCATAGTGTGAAGAGAAAAACTATTATCTATGTTTGGAAGTATGAATGGACTTGTTAAAATTTTGATTTAAATTTCTTCCAATTTGTAAATTGAGAATTTTTTTCATTTTTATTTAAGTGTTAAGTTTTTAGTCATAATTGAAATATTTCTAGCTTCCCTAAAATTTTAGTTCATTTTAATTGAAACTTATTCTTTTAGTGATTTTATTGTTTTCCCCTAAATTAGGTGATTGTATTATTGAAGGCACTTAATTAAATAATCACTTAATTTATTCAAACTTGAGTGTGTAATTATTTTATAACACATTACTTGTGTAATGGCGTGAATAGAAAAGCAGATAGAAGGGAAGATGAAAATTAGACCCACCCCAATTTGGTGGGAAAGAAATGGAAGGAAAGAGAGGGATATGAGTTTTTGTGTTTGGTATAAAATTTTGAAAGAAAAAAAAAATGGAATAGTAGGATTTGAAGGAATACATTAAATAGGGGTGACTATGAATCGGATTAGTTATTAAACTTAATTAAATCCAATCTAATTTGTTACTTTATAAATTTGATCAGATGGGATTAAGTCTTTTCACGTATTGGATTAGACTAGTTCTACCTATTATGCTTTTTTCAAACCGCCCAACTTTATTATTTTTTAACCAAGTGTTTGCAATTAATGTGCCTAGAAGAGCATTTCTGTTTATTCATTAATTGCATCAATGTGCTTCGAACCCAACCTTCCTCATTTTTATCTCACTAGCTTGAAAGAGTAATCTATATGCAATTTGCTCTACTAGTGTGCAGGGCTATAAATGAATCCATCTGGTCATTGCTAGAATGAGTTGAACTCCAACTTGTTTTTGATATTCTTTAAAAGTTTAGCTGAGCTTCAAAATCTTATGGCCCCACTTGATAGGTTCGTGAACATTTTTCATCATAAATGAGTGTTTGTGAACATAAAGAAAACACAACATGGTAGGAATAACAATTTGCACTGTCTCGTCCCGCTCTATTAATCACGAGTAAGAAAACCCTTTTTATACTATAAATATAGGTACAAAATTGAAATCCGTCGCGGGTCACGAGGGGAGGATGAATTTTTGTAAACACCCACCTCGCCTTATATATTTTTTATTTTTATAAAAATTATATATATATATATATATATATATATATATATATGTATATACGTGTCTTATAACTCAAGTTAACCTAAACACTAATTCCCTATTGGCACGGACTAACTTTCTTGCACTGGGCCATTTGGCCTTCATTTTTATTATTATTATTATTTTTTTTTTTGTGCCATTTGCCTGCTGTGTCAAACTATTACACATTTATAAATTGCTTAACATTTCGAAAAAAAAATAATCCAAAATAATAAAAATAAATAAATAAAATCCTAAACGGGTATAATCATTTCCCAACAAGGCGGGGATGGATTATGAAAATTCAACTTGTTGCAGGGACAGAGCAGGTCTAGAGTTATCAATAAATAAACGGGACGGGCACGGGTTTAGACAAACCCATCCCATTGTCATCCCTACAACACATGAACAGAAGGACTACTTTCATGTGCAACTTATTTTGTATTACTCCTTCTCGCAATACAAATTTTACAGGGAAATGGTGGTTCTCTTCTTATTAGTTTGTCACACACTATAATTTTCACTTAATTATATGAATTATAGAAAGTTGTGTGAGATAATTATTATAACACCTAGATAATTTACACATCTCTGCTAACAATGTAATAATAAAATCTAGATCAATAATTAAATAAATAGACACCACATTCGCCCCCATCTCATGTGTTTCGATTATTGTTTTACCACTCAAACTTCGTATAATCCATAATAGCCATAATCAAGGACTCTCAGAGACTCCAAATCCACAAGGTGGAATTCCATGACTTCGAGTCATTTATTGTAATACCCCTAATCGGGTGTGGGTCTAACCAACATACACGTAAAAGTTCGGGAGTATCACATTTATAGTCAATTTCACCATTCGATTGTGAAATTGCCCTTAAAATCGGGCTTTACTTAAGGTTCCTCGTACCTTAATTTCAATTTTAATCACTATCAACAAGTTCCAAGGACCCCAAATTCTCCCCAAAAGTGATATTGTATCGTTGCTTAAAATTTCAAATCATTTTCATAATCCAATAATGAAATCAACAATACACTCTAATTTTAAAATTTCTCATAAATCGCCTAATTGGGCAAGCTTGTTTGAAATCAAATAGTATCATTTGATGGATTATGATCTAAAATGACATTATAAACTCTTTGATAAAATTTGTTGGAGGATTATGACCCTTTAATTTAGATTATAAGGATATTAAGGAAAATGTATGATATTTTCTATAAAAGAAATGTGTTATTGAATTGAAACCTAAGGGGTTGGCTCAAGTGACTAAGTGTAACAGGTGGGTACTTATCCATTTACCCAAAAGCTATTGGATAATAATGCATACCCACCCATTTATACACATTCTAATTCCCATCCAGATCTGATGTGGGACAAGTCTCACTTATAACATTCTCCTCCACCCGAACTTATATAAAGCCCTCGTTACAGTTGGGCCACCCTACCTATCCGGGATGAAGATCCGGAAGCCCTCCGAACTGAGCGCTTAGCTTACAATTGGCTCTGATACCAACTGTAACAGGTGGACGCTTGTCCATTTATCCAAAAATTATTGGGTAGTGTTGCATATCCACCCATTTAGATACATTCTAATTCCCATCTAGATCTGATGTGGGATAAGTCCCACTTGTAACACTAAGAGCAAGTGGTGTGGGCAACACAAGTTATCTATCTACTTTTTAAAAAGTAGAGTGTCACGTAAGCTAAAAAGTGATGATGTGGTACTCTACTTTCTTTTATGCATATGTTCCATGGTGTGAAACCCAATTATCACATTCTCTATTTATTATATATTTTATTATTATTTTATTAATTTAATTTAAAAATAAAATAAAAAATTTGAATTTGAATTTAATAATTTTTTGTTTTCTTCTCAACGGCTATATTCCCAATGGTTATATTTCAATTTTTATATAAACCACTCATTCTATCTTCTTTCAATTATGAAATCAACTTCTTTGCATTCTCAAGTCCATTATTTGTTCGTTCAATATCTATATAAACCACTCATTCTATCTTTTTTCAATTCTATCTTCTTTTAATTATCAAGTCCACTTCTTTGCATTCTCAAGCCCATTCTCTATTCTTTGAGTCTTCATATTTCTTATACAAAAAAACAATGGCTTCATCGTCATGAGATATACCCGTTTCTGAGTCATTTCTCCATTGAATTCGTCAGATTCAGATGGGGAAGATATTTTTGAAATCCATCGAAAAAGGATGAACGATATGAGCAGATTATTATCGCTCGATAGGGTGCGGGCATTCTTTCAATCTCGTAAGAGAAAATATATTAAATGTGATCGAGAGGAAGCAGCACAACGGCTATTCCGAGATTACTTTGCTGAAAATCCGATTTATCCACCAAACATATTTCGTAAAAGGTTTCGGATGCGACGAGAGTTGTTCCTTCGCATTTTGAACGGTGTTACAACATATGACGAATGGTTCATCTAGAAACCCGACGCCCTCGGTCGTATAGGGTTTACTCCTATACAAAAGATGACTGCTGCAATCCGTATACTAGCATATGGAATTTCAGTTGATCATTGTGACGAGTATATAAAGATTTTTGAGCACATTGCGATTGAAAGCTTGAAGAGGTTTTGTGATGCTATAATTGCTGTGTATGCGGAGCAGTACCAACGCTCACCAAATGCAGATGACATTGCACGTCTGCTTCGAGAAGGGGAAGAGAGAGGTTTTCCAAGTATGATTGGCTCTATAGATTGTATGCATTGGGAATGGAAGAACTGCCCCACAGCATGACATGGCACGCACACGGGAAGAAGCCATAAACCTACTTTCATATTGGAGGCCGTTGCATCGAAAAATCTGTGGATCTGGCATGTTTTATTTGGTATGGCTGGTTCACACAATGACTTGAATGTTCTTGATCATTCCCCAGTATTCAAAAGCATGATCAATGGTTCAATGCCTCCAGTTAATTACGTGGTAAATGGGCATCGGCGTACAATGGGGTATTACCTATCTGATAGTATATATCCTAAGTGGACAACTTTGATTCAGACCATCCCGCACCCAACAACAATCAAAGAGAAATTATTTGCTAACAAACAAGAAGCTGTTAGAAAGGATGTAGAACGGGCGTTCGGCGTGTTGCAGATGAGGTGGGCTATAATGCATCAACCGGTACTTTATTGGAATATAGAAAATCTAAATAAGATAATGAGAACGTGTATCATATTACACAATATGATCATTGAAGACGAGGGCGAACACATTTTGCAATGGACACCTCCGACAGATGACCCAATCTCCCTTCCACATTACATTCGAAACCCATCAATGTTGGCGGCACACATTTCCTCTCTCCTAAGTAGGATTCGCAATAGATCAGACAATGCTGATCTTAGGAGAGATCTTATGGGACATTTGTGTAATCAATTTGGTAATGAAGATGTTTAAATTTGTTGTAGTCGAATAAAATGTAATTTTCATATTGCTGATGAATAAAAAATATTTTAAAAATTATTTGTTTCGATTAGATTTGTTAAGAAATTTAAATAAACTACTCCGTATTATTTAAAGAAATATCCATTACATATATAAATAAAAATTACATTACTCAGAGATAGAAAAAGAAAATTACATTACATTAACTTCCCAGAGATAGAAAAAGAAAATTACATTGCATTAGTTTCCCATAGGTAGAAAAAAGAAATTACATTACATAGCTTCACAAACTACCCCTTTTACTGAAACGTGCATAAATTTCATTTTGTTGATCAATGATCCATGCTTTTGTTGCTGCTGTTGGAGTATCATTTGGATTTTTAGGCATCATTTCTCTTTCGAAATCAAGTTGCTTCTGCTCGAATTCTAATTTTTTCATTTCTTTTTGCGCCTCAAATTCCAACATTTTCAATTCTTTTTGCGCCTCAATGTCCATTCTTTTTGTACGTTCTTGCTCCAAGCCTAAATCGAATGTAGCTTTCAATTTCATTTTTTGAGATTCGACTGCCAAGACATTCATCAACTCACTTTGATGGGTAAAATCTTTAAATTGTTCTAGAAATAAGTTATGTTGTACCTCTTCTTTGCTTTTTTTGCGACCTTTCTTAGATGCTTTTCATCCAAGGGGTCGTACAATGCCATGCAAACTTTCAACACTAATTGCAGGTGAATCGTCGTCGCCAAGGTTTACTGAACCTGGTGTTGATACTCCAGGTGTTGACGGAGTGGATGGATTGGTTTGGGCTGTTGACGAAGTAGGTTGAACAGTTTATCGCCAATTCCCAGACTCATTCATATCGATCTCCACTACTCTTTTGTTCCTTTTATCATTGCTGTTGGAGCTTGAATTCCATTTTGACGAATTCTTTAAAATACACCAACAGTGATCCAACTTAAATGGCTCATTTTCTGACGTATTAAATACATTTCTTGGTTCATTGAGCTATAAAAAAGTAAAAAATAAATGAAATTAGTTAGATTGCCAATTAAAATAAATAAAAATTTTAAAAAATTATAAAGAAAAAAACTTACTGCATCTTCAACGTTGAAGCCACTAGGAATATGATGTTGGATTTGTTTGTAATATCTAGAAAATTTGTTAACAACTTTTTTAATGTGTGAGAAACGATTTTGCAAACCTGGTACATTTCGGGACGTCGTGCCCCCTAGTTGCTGAATAAAATTTTCACGGACTCGTTTCCAATACATGATTTGCTTATGATCCGAACCCGTTATTGGATCTTCCCCAATGTCAACCCATGCTTTGCATAATGCTTCATCTTCTTCAATGGACCAATTTGTTTTCGAAAGTCTAGATTTACGTTGGGTTTTAGATGGTTGGGATTGAGAAGGCTGAAACTGAGAAGGTTGGGATTGGGATGGTTGGAACTGAGATGATTGGGATTGAGATGGTTGGTATTGAGAAGGTTGTAATTGGTAATGGGGTTGGAATTGGGGATGTGGTACGGGTTGGTATTAAGAAGGATAGAATGGAAAATAAGAGTATTGGGGTTGAGATGGATTTCGGATTGAAAAAAAATTGAAGAATCCAAATTATAATTGGTAATTCGGAGTTATAAAATTGGTTGAAATGGGGGCGATAGAATGGAGGTTGAGGATCCATAGAGATGAATGTTAAAAAAAATATTGAGAAAGAGAATTATTGAAGATGATAATTATTGAAGATGAAATTGGTTTTTATAGACTAATAATATAGCCGTTTTATTACCGTTTGAAAGTAATTTACTGTTTGGAATGTAATTGACTGTTGGAGCATTCTTTTGTTTTTTTCCGTTGAAGCTGCCTTTTGTTTTATTTCCGTTGAAGCTGCCTTTTGCTTTAAACAAAGAAAAAAAATTTGTGGAGTATTGTCTAAATGGTTCTCTGTCTGTGGAGCATGATATAGAGTGTGGTTGTAGGGCCCAAAATAAAGTTGGTCAAATTCTTTCAGCATACCGTTCCATTATTTCTCTATACTGACACCTCTCTCTCTATTTTGGATAGCGCCCCAGATGCTCTAAGTTATTTGGTCATGATGCCTTATGAAATATCATGTTTAAGGTTTGACACCTCCAAGGTGCAAATAATTCCTAAGGTGGGATGTGTGAGCATCAACTAGAAAAAAAAAAGTAAAAAAGAATGTTTTGTGTATACAACATGCAATACATCAAATACAATAAGGGGAATATAAACATATTGTTATATTTATTTGAATTCTACATGGATCCAAATACAAATCCAAGGATTTTTTTTATAGCCAATGACAAAGGGCACGTATGGTAGGCCTTTTGTTTTAACTCAAAATAAAAGAAGTGTTTTACTGTATGATGTTTTGAATGGTAATTGAAAACATATTTTACGATGTCTATTTGTTACAAAAAGTTTTAAAATAAAAATATAAAATCTTATTTGATAAAAAAATGTTGAAAGTTTTAAACCAAATAGGACTTTGTGAATGATCCCTCCAAGCTACAATAAGGCCATCTGTATGGCTGGCTTTTAGCCAACCATACAACTAGTTTAGCTAGGATTAGTGCTGGTGTGAGGTTGGCAATTAGGTGCCCTACACAAAAAATATTTGCAGGCTGCTAGCTGTGCGGCTAGGGGATTGTGATGGGCACACCAAAAGTGTGGGCTTCACTTCTCTTTTTACAATATTGCGAAAGCTTTTATTACCATACCATGCTAATAAACTAGTCAAATATTACAACTAGCCATGTCAGCAATTGACAAAATAAATAAATAAATAAATGTGCATATAGGCATGTACCCAGCAGAGCATCCCATCTCACTTTAATAGACCAAACACACAAGTCTGGATAAGGACGATACAGATACCCAAGCACTATTCTTAATTTGCATTTTTGTTCAACTGTGCAATCAGTTCTAACGGTAAGGATTTAAAATTTGAAATTCGAATTAAGAGCGTTTCTAAAGCTTTCGCTGGAGTGGGCCCATAAACGACGAGCCGTTCAAATATTCCCCCACATTAACTTTGATTATCACATCATCACACTCCCTTTCTTTGTTCCCAACAAACCTCACTTTTGAAAGGACCGTCGTTGAGTAGATCTCCGTTGAACCTCACTCTAGGTTCTACTGTAGACGATCGGCACCCAAATCACTTAGATCTTGACGCGTGTTACCCATGGACTCGTGTCAGTTGTATATAGCGCGAGTACTAACAAAGATATGTCGTGCGAGTACAATTATATTTGATTTTTGAGCATCGCTTAAAAATTCCCGCCCAAATGCCAAATGGCATTTACATGTGTATTATATCACTCTCTCTCTATATATCATCTCTCTCTAGAGTCTTGATTCTCCGTCTTCAATACATTTCTTCAATTTCATCGTAATCGAACTTTCTCTCTCTGTGTGAATGGAGGACTCTGTGAAAGATCAATCTTCTCTCTCTGGTACAACATTTAATCCTTAACCTCTCTCTCTATATGCTCTCACATATATATATATATATATATATATATATATATATTAATTGTATGCGGTTCATTTTGCAGCGAACAAGGGCAGATCATCGTCGAAGCTTCGGTATCCGCTCCGATCGGCAAATAAATCCAAGGAGGAGAAGCCGCCAGTGGCCCAATTGTCAAACTCTTCTTTGGCTTCTCAGAGGTCTGTATCAATCTCTTCCCTAAATTTTGTGGTTAAGGTTTTTTTATTTCGAAATTTTATTTTACAAGATTTTGTTATACGATTTACTTATTTTTAGTTTTAGAGTGGTGAAATTGCGCATTTTTATTTTTTTTATTATTATTATTTTTTTTGTCTTTGGATTTTGTTCTTAGACCTCTTATTCTATTATGTTAGTATGTGAATCAGATGATTTTCTATAGTTGGGGTTTTTTGTTTGTTGATGGTTGTGGAAGATAAAAAAATTGTTCGATTAATGCCTGACAATCTCACCCATACTTGTTCATAAAAAGTAAACCCTGTTTCACAAATTATAGTCTCTGAAAGCTGAAGTGTAGCTCTTTGGATTCGATTACGGCGAGTAGGACTAAAGGCTGAATATGGTAAGGCATTATAAATGCAAGATATTATGTGTACATTGTATGCAAAATTCCTGGAGGTGACAGATAGGTATTATTGGGTTTTGATCATGGCAGTTCATTTTGAAAGTACATGCTTTTCTTTAAATATTAATAAATACATAAAATCCTGTCCCGTAATTGATTAGGTTAATGATTATTTTTATTTTTTTAGTGAAAAGGGATTTATTTTTCACCACTGAAAGCAAACAGTTCCTATTTTTTCCCACATACCCATTAATTCTACAACTGACAGCTCCACCTTCTATTAAGGGCATGACCTTACTTTTTTTTTTTTTTTCTTTGAAACAAAAATCATAAGATTAAAAGAAATAAAAAATAGATTGGTATTTAGTCCTCACCTAGTATGTTCAACAATTAATTTAGATGGCATTTTTTGTTTGCTGATGCAATAGTTTATTTGGGTTCTAGTTGATCATGTCATTAAGTTTGCAATTCTTCGAACTTTGATTGGTCTGAAAATTATATGTTGCAAAGATTATCAGTTTGTATAGTTGATTTTGCAAAATGGTAATTTAGTACCTATATCTAGCATATTCTGATTGTATAAGAATCCTTAAAATTGATAGAGAACATGTTCCAAAGACACAAAATTAGGGATATTATGACCAACATATAGAACTTGGATTGACACTCATTTTTGCGTAAATTTGACTGTATAGCTTAGACTTTTTAGTCTTTTTTTTTTTTGGTTTAAGTAGCAGTTGGTAGTCATTAATTTTGAGTTTATGTTTATTTATAAAATTTTAAATTTATTATGATTTATTATTGTACAACTAGTTACTACATTAGTGATTCTTGGGAAAAAGAGCACTAACAATATCTATTTTAGTTAGAAAGTAAAAATACTTGGGAAAATGCATGTCTTGCACTATATTAATACTTGGGGAAATCGATCTTCAACCACCTACCAGTTAAACATACTTGGACTAGTTCTCTCATATTATTACCAAAATGCATGCCTTGCACTATTTAACAAAATAGATCTCTCTTTACATCTCACAAAATATACTTCAGAACCTCCTTGCATCGGTTCAAGGAAATCTTTCACAGGTGCAAGGGTTAAATTTTTTAAAAAGATTTCCTTGCATCCGTGAAACGTTAAGGAGGTTCAGTCCAAAACCTCCTTGCACCGGCACAAGGATTAAAAACCAAAAATTTAAAGATTTCACTGCACTGGTGCAAGGAAATCATTCCTTGGTTAAACCATGTTTGACTGGTAGGTGGTTGAGGGTATTTTTTGTTTCTTACACAAATTATTAAGTGTAAGGATGAGTTTTTGTCCTTTCGTTAGTTGGGAGTGTAATACCCCAGGGAGTAACTTGGTAATTGGGTAATTGCAGCAGAAGGTGATGAGGGGCAGGACCAATACCTCATGTGAACAGTTAAAGTTGTTTTTGAAATTAGTTTTGAAAACTTGTCAAAAGTTGTAAATACTTTTTAGAGTTGCTATATTGGTAATTTTGACTCCTTAGCTAGTCATTTTTTTTAAAAAAAATTCAAAATACTTTTAGAAAGAAGAAACAGAAATATTGCAAGAACAAACAGAAGTAAATATGGAAACAAGATAGAAACAAGATGGATCTGCTACAACAGGAAACATGATATAACTTAGAGAATAATCAGACATAAGCCCAAATAAGCTCTAAATTAATTAGATAAGAGTTAAATCAAACAAGCAACAGATAGAGAAACACACCAAATAAATCCATGTGTAATAAGCATGAAACAATCCTATTAAACCCTAAATAAATCCAAAATGATCTACTATTAAAAAATTTCACAGGCAGTGAAAGATCTTACAAGATAAATTAGCTAAATTATTTGCCTAATATCATTGATTTATTACGTAGATTGACTGATTTAAAGGCAGCTGAAATTATGTTTTTCATTCGTAAGCCACAATCTTCAGATTTTGAGTGTTTGATTGAGTGTAAATAGCTGGTTATATGTGATAGAGGATCTCAATGATAAAATGCATGGTACTAAATAACATACAATACTCAGATTCTTAATTTTACACAAGCAAATTATAATTTATGTGAACATAATATTAGATTTGTCAAAGAAAATGGTGACTTTAAGTTGATAGTTTTGTCTGCTGGTGTTAAATATTAGAGAATACGATAAATAAGGATGCTTTGTTATTCCTGGACCTGTTTTTAACTGGCTAGAACTGAATCTTAGAACCAGTAAAATGTAGAATGAGTGCTTTTAATGTGCTTGGATGCAAAGTCAAAGGATAAACATATTGCGTTCTTTTCATAATGTGCCTTCAGAACAAAATGTTTTTGGTGAAGCATATCACGGTGCAAATGTATTATTTCTTTTTTAATGTTTCAAAGGTGCTCCCTAATTGTTTACTGATATAGTGATATCTTTCTGGGATGTACTTTTTCAGGGGAAGACCTGCATCAAGTGTGAGTCAGAGTGTGGGTGTTCTTGACCTCTCTGCCAAGCACAAATCTGCCAAGTCTCCCAGAAGGTTTTCTATTCCTGCCAAGTCATCTGTTGGCCCTGTCACCAAACCAGTTGGCTGTATTACTCCAATTTCTGAGGCTAGAGCAAAAAGATCAGTTAATAGTCAAGTGAAAAATGACACACCAGTTTCTGATGTTTCCAAATCATCAAATAGAAGAAAGTTCAGTGCTCTTTCTTCAGCATCATACTGGCTATCACAGATTAAGCTCTCTGAATCTGCTGCTAAACACTCGATCTCCTTTGGCTTCTTCAAACTTGCTTTAGAGGCTGGATGTGAGGTATGTCAGATCTTTTCTTCCCTGCAATAAATGCACGTTAAACATGAGTTGAGGAAAGACTTTTTAGTAACAAGATCGTAACACTTCATGCACCTGTTGAAACTTGCAAATGCATATAATTTAATAACCAATTCAATTCCACACCTTTTCAGGTACAGGAATGCTTAGGCGTAATTTTTTATTTTTTTTTGATTTCTTGGTAAACAGTAATGTGTTCCCATGTGACTTCTTGTATAGACTGAGTGTTGACAAATTCTTCTGTTAGAAGTGCTGCTTGCTTCTTGCTTAGCAAGGTTGCATTAGTTAGTGTATAATTCTGATACTATTTTTCTGTGAATTTCTGCCGATCATTGGTATGGACCTACATATTGCCACATTAGGCAGAGTATCAGAGCACTGTATATAAGTTCACTTGCCAATTTTTATACTCTTCTTTTCCTTATAATTTGTGATAAAAATCAATCGGCAATCATGTTAATGTATAAAGTTCATTCCATTTTCTAGTGTGTGTGTGTATTGCATTGAACAAATTTTGCTGTTTAGTTACAGAAAAAGTGAAAATTTGTGCATGCTCTAGATTTGTTGTCTGTAATTTTCAATCTCTTCTCTAATACTAACCATGTTATCGTTTTTGTTTTGTTTCATTTAATATTATTAAACTCAGCCTATTCAGCGAATGAGGGATGAACTAAAATCTTATGCGCGCCGACATAACTTTGTAGAAATTGGAGAACCTGCAAAAGAATTGTTCGAAAGCTACAATATTTTAGAACACTTTGAGCAGTTGCAGGTTTCTGAAATCTGTTCCCAAGTGCCGGAAGAAGGAACTAGATCATCTGATGATGATGTACACAGTTCTTCTTCTATTACGGGAACTAGGAAATTGGAGCCCAAGTCGTTGAACACTGATGCTGCTCAAGTTTCCCCTATCATAGAATCAACCAAGGAGACTAATTCAAAAAATAATCCTGGAATGAGGACTAGGGGATCCTTGAGCAAGAATTCTGCAACCACAAGGTCTGTTTCAGGCATTGCAGGGCGTAATGTGCAAAAGAAATCACCGAAGGCTAGCAAACAAGAATCTAATAATGAGAAGTCTAAGATCAAGAAGCAGGGAAAGAAATCTGCTCGTGACGAAGGTAACTGACCAACTGTGCAGATAGTTCCTTCTATGCTTTCTGTACAAAGAATACAGCAGTGTATAAATTGTCTTATTTACTTTTACAGGTCCAACCATCCCTTCATCTACAGAGGAAACACTCCAAGAAAACAAAGAAAACATGGTAAGTACAATTCTAATTACATTTGATAATATAAAATGAATTCCCATCAAGTCATTTGAATTTTGAAGCAACAATAACTTCTCTAAATTGATAATATAACTTCTTGCTGCTGCTTAAACATGGTAAGGTGCATTAACTATTTATATATTTTTCCAGTGACATTTTTATGGTCGTGAAAGATCGTCCTTACTCCAGTTAGATATATGATTCATGTTTGTTTGGTCTTTTACTGTCGAGAATACATTTATGCAGATGCCTACTTTTTTTTTCCATGGCCGGATGAACTTTAGCCATTAAAATTTTCTTTTCTTTTCTTCTTCTACTTTTTTTTTTTTTTGGTGGCAATGATATATATATATATATTTTTCATTCAAACTGTTGCAGGAAACTCCCCAGATGGGAGAGATGAGTTTGATTGAAGTTTAAAGACAATCTGCATCAAGCATGCTGAATTAATATTTGGGTTCTGTCTTCTGTGTTTTTGGTGGGGACTTTTCCTTTGTATAGAAAGGAGTTAAATGTTGAACTGTTTTCAGTGTGGTGTGGAAGTCATTTTATTATTATTACTATTATTTTTCATATTTTCAATTTGTACTTCATTGTTGGTGGGTAAATCTGGGATTATACTTTGTGTCTCATTATTATTATACAATACTTTGGTGATTTCAAAGTGCATTGAATTACTGCACTCTGCTGTTGTTGCTTGTCTCCTTACTAAAAACATCTAGAAATGTATGATATTTAAAATCCTTTGATTGAATTTCTTTCAAAATGTTTCGGAGACCCGTGGTGAAAAGTTACTCAGCATTGGTTGTAAATATTTTCAACTTTTTGTTAGTCTCGAGTCTCTGTTTTTACTTGCGAGTTGGTCTGACTTGCGAGTTAGTTTGAAAAAGGTCTCATTTATTAATCATAGTTTGCAGTTGCGTTATTGATCGCAATAATAGTGTAACGGATTTGGATGAATATTGATGTAAACCGACTGAATTGACTAGTTCATAAAGGTGTGTATGGTATTGGATCTTTAAAAAAAGTTATGTATCGGTCGATACGTTGAATCATGTTATCAACACTAAGTCCTTAGTTTTTTCCTTATTTTTTTAAAGTAGAAGATTGATGATTCAAGTGGTGTGCTAGTGTATTTGTCAATGTTAAAAAAAAAAAAAAAAAAAAAATTAGTCTCATTTATTAGATATAAATTGTGTCCGAGTCTGGTGATTGGTAAATGAAGGAAAAATTATTTTCAAGTAACTAAATTAATATTGTCACACAAGTTATACACCTACACATTCAATTCCAATTTCATTGAGTTGTGGATTCAAGTAGTAATTTGAGTTTGCGGAGTTTCTCCTACTAAATGTAATTTGTAACTCATTTTTACAACTTTTCAAAGCTGTGATTAGTTCTTCCAAAAACTAGATAATATTTCTTTGTTAGCATTACTATCATTTTTTTTATAAAAAAAAAGGAACTGAACATTTTCTGAAAAGATTGTACGCAACTCCGCAAAAGGAAGTTGCTATAGGAAATTAATCAAGGTAAATTGTTATGAATGAAAGCTTCGTTTGTTTAGATGTAAAATATTTTTCAAAAAATAAATTTTTTATTTTCTGAGTTGTCATAAAATATTTTACGTCAAAACAAACGGAGTTGATACTACGCTTATGCACGCCACATAAAATGTTGTTAATAAAAGCATAACATCATTGCCAATGTAATCTTTCGGGACAAAGAGAGCCTTGATCACTGTCATCAAATTGCATTTTGAAGGAATTTATAGTAATTGGAATCAAAACAGCAGAATTTATAGCAGCAGGCAAGTTCATTACATTTCAAGGCAAATCAATACGTGGAATTTAAATTTACACAAGCTTATCAAGTGCAGCATATCATAATTATATCAAGATAAACAGCCCTACCAGAAGCAATAGGAAGGGGAGCAATCGTTTCTCATACTATAGGTAAAAAGTTTGCATAATAGTTCTTGGAGAGACCGCGACAAGCCCACAAGCTCCGGGAGACTGGGGACGGCCATACAAGAGCACCGGCCGAGAATCAGTCTGCTGTCCAACTCTGCTCCACAACCTCCCTTACTCTACGGTTGTACTCTCTTTTGCTCTCGCTAAACATCCGAGCAGCTTCCGAATTTGCAGGAGAGTTAGGGTTTGGATCACAGAGCAGTGACTGCAACAGATTATAGAAGGTTAGTGCATCACGTGAACTAAGCTATTCAAATACTGGTGGTCTACAAAATAATACTCTAATTCACAAAATGATCAATGATGTAGCAGAAAGTAAACATCCCTACGATCGTAAGTTATATATCAAATTTCTCCCCCCAAAGTCGTGTGAAAGTAAAAATGTGGCAAATGTTTCTCTTTCCACCTAATACTGTGTAATCTTTTGCCATTTCTCCCAAAAGCAGGTAGTACCTACTTCTTTAAAGTACCAATTGAAGGATAAACCACTACTGTCCCCCGCAACCCCAACCATAAAAAAATCTGTATTTTAGGTGCCGGAAAGTAAATATAAGGATTTATGTTGGGAAAACCTCAATATTGTAATGCTTGCAGCACAAATAAACAAGTACTCTGTCGATACCACATCTGTTCACATTATAAACTCAAAAAATCAATTGAAAGACGAAAATTTTGCAAAAATCTTGTGGAAGTTGTCATAAAATAAAGTGGCCTCTCCCAGTCTACAAGTAATTTAATGAAATTTCTTTGCAACATTCCAAAGACTACAAAAAAATGAACTGATCGTCAAGCCAGAGAAGCAACAGTCTTATCAAGTGGGACCAGTGGTTCAACAAGTCAGACCATAGAGTAAAATTCAATATTGAGTCCCTATCAATTGATAAATTGAGTTTAGCCAATACATCATTAATAATGAACACTGCTCAAATTTTGCTATATTTTTTATATGGGTTTTCCATCCTTTTATTTGATTGACATTTTAAGATACATCCCATAATATGGCACGTCACCCAAAAGGAATGAGGTAGAAGGATAATAATACTTGCGCAAAACAAAAAAATTATTTTCTGTTTTACTTTGTAACTCTTACTTTATTTTATTTTTCCTAAAATTGACTGACGATATGGAATTAAAAAATCACTAGTAAAATTATAGGGGTGCAACTTGGGCTGGTCCAACCCGAGCCCAACCTCAACCCGGCTTCGGGTTGGGTTGTGGCCTTAACTCAAATTCGGGCTTCAACCCATGAAGCCCAACCCAAACAATGGGTTAGGCCCCTCTCTCTCTCTATCTCTCCACACTAATACTAACTGTCAATATATATTTATATATAAGGGGACAAAAAATCTAAAGTTCAAAAATAATTAAACAAGGAGAAGATTTGGGTACCAACAACTAGTATCACAGGATAAAAATTAATAAGCACAATAAATTGGCAAGAAATAGACCTGAAAATTATTTTTCATAAAAATATGGGTTATATTTTTACTTTTATATATAGAAATTTGGTAGGCCTCTATATAAATATATATATACACACATATAACATATGTCAATATATATATATAAGATGACAATTTAAAATTCAAAAATAGTAAAACAAGAAGAAGATTTGGATACCATCAAAATATCAAAGGATAAAAACTAATCGGCTGGAAAAATCGGTAAAAAAATAGACCTACCATAAAAATATGGGTTATATTTATTTTTACATATATATAAATTTGGATTTCCAAAAATAATTTTTAATTTTAAAATTTTTTTTTTTGGTAGGCCTAATTTTTTTAAAAAAAAGAGAGTTCAAAATAGAATATGACCCCCAAAAAAAAAAAAAAAAATTCATTACCAAACAACCCTCTCTCTCTACATCAATTTTTTTTTCCCCAAATGTTCATCTCACAAACTGTGATTGCCATTATACTGGGAATCAAGGTCAAAGACCACACACAAAGACTTTGTTTGCAATCATAGTTGTGGTTTTGGCGGCAGTGACAACGGGGAATGAAGATGGCGGCAGCGGAGGCAGAGGTGAAGGAAGAAGGCTGCAGCAGCGGCAGAGGTGAAGGAAGAAGGCGGCAGCAGAGGCAGAGGTGGAGGAAGATAGAGTCGGCAGAGGAGGAGGAAAACGGCGTCGGCTTCATATATATAGATACGTATATATATGATTTGGAAGATAAAAAATAAAAAATATTGGAATTTTTTTTAAAATCTTGGGTTGGGTTGTGTTCGGGTCGAGTCCGAGCCCAACCCAAACACGCCTGGGTTTTGATAAAACCCACCAACCCAATTTGAGCCCAATTTGTGAATTTAAAAGCCCAAGTTTCAAAATTTTCGGGCTAGGTTTGGGTTGGGCTGGGTTAGCCCGCCCAAGTTGCACCCCTACTGAATAAAGGTAGGCACAGGTTGGACTCTGGTCATTCAAACCGTTGGGTTGGTCTAGTTTTTATAATAGTGAACCCAACTAGCAAGGGACTGTTTTTTTTTATTTTAAAAAAACAAAATCAGCTATCTGGTTAAATGGAAGCAAGGAACCAGAACATCCCAAGGCTGAACTGAAAGCCTCGACTGAATTCAAATTTTCTGAAACTTTCTTAGTAAGTAATAGTTATGCCAAAGTAAATTTACGCCTAGAGTCAAAATGTTAAGGTCACTTTTTGTCCAGAGATCGGATGCCCACAAATTTACTCTCAAAAGGAGGATTTAAAATTAGTCAGTCCTATGCCCTGTTTTTTCTGATTCAAAAACTCTGAAATTTTCACTTATCAAAAATAAAAACTCTGAAAAAAGTTTGTTTCCTGTTGATATGGGATCATTATAAGGCCACTCCGCCCAGCAACTCTAGTGGTTTTAGTAATGGATTGGATTAATGATAATAGGAAGCAAAGCATACATTACATGATAAAATATATTACTTTTACAAGAAAAATAATTTTTTCATTGACATGAAATAAAACGGAGCCTAGACAAAAGTGTCTTTAGAAAGGGAATATCAAATCCTTTTCAAGTTGGGAAAAACACCACAAAATATAGAAAAATTAAATGGAATTCTTCCCATAACTAGGTTAATAAGCATAACATAAGAATTCATAGATGAACTCAAGGGTTCATGTAACATATATTACTGTAAATGGCTTTGTTGATTTAATATAATTCAATTCTTCATCAACATCATCATCATCATTCTTGCCTTAAATCCATATGAACGGAGTCAGCCATACGAATTCTTTATTTCTAATACAAAACCATCTTCTATAATATTTAACCTTTTAAATCATTTCTAATGATTTAATCCCATGTTAACTTCATTTGTCCTCGCTATCTCCTACCATCTATGCAAATTTGTCTCCCTCTTCTTACTAGAGTATCTATCGATCTCCTTTGGGTATGTTTATACCATCTTAGGCCTTATCTTACCATAAATAGTTGCACTCCTTATTTAGGAAAAAAATAGTCGCACTCGTTATTTCTCCTTATTTTTCTCTGACATTTTGATTAGTAACCCTATCTTTTAAAGTGACCCCTATCATCCACCTTAACATTCTCATTTCCGCTTCATGAATTCTTTGTTCCTGTTTCTTTTCTAAGCACAACACTCTGAACCACAAAAGATAGTTGGCCTAATAACTGTTCGATAATAGTTTCCTTTTTATTTATTTGTTACTCTTTTATCTCATTAAATCTTAGTAGTATATCTCCATTTTGTCCCGCCTGCTCTAATTCTACTAATTATATCATTATTTATCTCAACATCTTTTTGTATTACTGACCCTAAGCATCGAAAATGATCACTTTGGATAACCTTTTGGTTTTGAAACATGATCATTATATTATCAATATCGGACTCTTTACATAATTTGCATTTTCTATATTCCATTTTGGTCTTAATTTTTTGATCTTTTGATTCTAATGTGTTCCTCCTCCACCAGAAGTAAAGCAAAGAGAAGTTTGTTTTGAAATTCTTGTTGTAAATATATTCCTGTGGCTGATATGTATAGTTTGAGGGGTCGGGTCGACCATTTCTAATTTTGTTGCTAAATTTTCCTTAGAAGTGTCCAATAGCACTATGTCATCGACAAACAACATGCACCATGAAATTTCTGCTTGAAAATTTTTGTGATTTCATCTAATAATATTGTGAATAAATATGGACTTGGTGCAAACCCCTGGAATCTGTATTATATAACCCTTTCCCATAATTTCATTGAATGACTCATTAATTTAATTTGTCAATAATTGTTTTTGTAAGTAGGTACTATTGTGCTTTTTCTCCACTCATTTGACACCGTTCCCTCTTTTAGAATATTGTTTTTTCTAAGAAATAAATTTCACAATCATTCAATTCCTACTTTGCTTAATGTTCTCCATGCCTCTAGAGGTATGTTATTCAGCCCAACTGCTTTATCCTTTCCCATCTTCTTAATGTGTCTTCTACTTCTTAATTGTTGATTTTCTTTACTTTAAATTCATTATTTTTTTATAAGTATATTAAATTCATTATTTTCACTTCTTATCTAGGATTCTAGGGTATTCCTCATTAAGTGTCAAAAATAATTTTTACATCATACAAATGTCTCTATCCTTCACTAATATTTTATGGTCCACATCCTTAAAATATCTAATTTGATACATGTCCCTAATTAATTTATCCTACCTTTGCTAATATAAAAATAACTTTTTCACCCTCTTTCGAGTCTAGTTTTGCATAAAATCATTTATCGCATTTTGTTTTGCTTTTTATTACTATTTTCTTAGCTTCATTTTTCAATCCCTTATTGTTTTGCCTCCATGGGATGCTGAAAAGGTTGTACAAGATATGGGTCTAAAGTTTAGTATTATTTTGTACATAATGGTCGCTCCTATTCTTGAACCAGCATTCATGCTTAGCGATTGGGCTTTTACCATCTATGATTTGACATGGACATGAGACATTGACATGACAGCTTCTAATTTTAAGAATTGGATATAGAGATATAGATCAAATTTCATTTTAATAATTTTTTTATATGTTCTATCATTTATTTGATCTTCAAAATCTATGGTCAAATATTAGCCAGGTTTACCATTATATGCATGTAATTTTAAGGACAAGAGTACATTTGCAAAGGCTGCCACAGCTGGGGTTACAATAAAATATTATATTCCAAGAAGTGGACTAAAGAATATAATAGAATTAGCGATTATAAGTTGAATATATTTTAAGTCGCCGTTTCTTATTAAACAAATCTAGGACTTAAGATTCCTCATAGGGCTCATTTATAGAAAAGGCCCTTTGGGCTCAAAAACCTTAAATGGGCACCACTTTGACATTGCAGATAACTCAAAGGAGACTAGGAGAGGTAGAAGCAGCAGAATCACAATGGAGAAGGTAGGGTTATATCTTTTTACCAGTTACAACAGCTCTCTCTCTCTCTCTCTCTCTCTCTGGCGGTTTTTACTTCTCTCTGACTATTTTTTTCTTCTTTCCCTCTTCTAACACAGGAGAAATGGCTGGAAGTCTCAAAACACGTTTTGGCATGTGTGTCCATGATAAAACATGTCAAAACGTGGCACACCTGTAGTAGGACACTGCCCCAGAAATCATAGGTTGCAATTGTAACAATCAGTTTCCACTAATTCTATTTCTATAGATTCTTCTAATGTACCCATACGTCTTGGCAGCCACAGCTATACTTGTCCTCAGCCAGATATATTTCCAAAAGATGCTGTATACATACCCATAAGAACGATGCGGTGTACGTGACTACGTGTGTCTAAGAAGGATGTGTTGGGAATAGATAACTGACAATTCAGCTATTATTGTACAACTACCCAAATTTTCAAAAGTTTTAAGACTGAAAACAGAAGAAATAACTTACGCAACAAATTTAATTCATTTTTCTAAAAGACAATATTCAGATAGTCCAAGTTACCTGGACAGATGTAAGTATAGCTGCTACATCATATATTGGACTCCACTGATTTTGTAGAATATCCAGACATATACTTCCATCCGCATAGACTGATCAAATTCAGACATAAATTTGTAGCAACAAACCAGCAAAGGTCATATTCAACACAATTTGGAACTTAATATGAAACACCCAAGAATCTACACCAACTTACTGTTTGGGTGGAACATTCTGGAGACAAATCGCACTATTGGTGGCTTGTTTGGATAATCCTCCGTAAACTGAAGTGTCAACTTGAACGTACCTGAAGTACTCAAAGGTCATTTTTTGGAGATTTAAATTGCAATATCAGAATATAAGGAAAAACAAGCATACTGTTTCATAAATATATAAAAACTGAAAATGTTGGAGGAGTAAAGAAAAGAGCCCAAATAGGGAAATTGCTTCTTATTGTGATGTTATGCTCATAATACCATAGAGGTCAAGATCGCAGAGCCTTAGCAAAATCATCAAAGCGAACTCCAGTAGACTAACGACATTGTTTTAGCAACACAAAGCCCATTAAAAGTTGAATATAACTTCCAACATAGGCGTGAAAATCCTAATCATTATGGCACAAGGCTTGCAAACCAATGATCCCTAATTATCTTATCTACTAAAGGATGCATGGATGCCTATTCAAAGATATGACAGAGATGCAGACGCTACAATTTTTTAAAAGAGGACAAACACAGTCATAACTACAAAAAAATATCCTAAGAGGTGTCTTACGGATGCCCCATGGGATGCGTTCCCCCGGAAGTTCTAAGGCCCCCCTCAAGGTGGCCATCGTTGCATGGGCCTCTGTTTTTGGAAAGATCTTGACCCAGGATAATCTTAAGCGGAGGAGATACGTTTTGGACTCTTGTATCATGTGCAAGAGAGACCAAGGAAACGGCTGACCACCTTCCTTTACATTGCCCAGTGGCACGGGATTGTTAGGTTTTGATGTTAGATTTGTTTGGGGTTCAGTGGGTTATGCCCAGGTCTTCTAGAGGCTTGGTTGAGGCTTTGGAGAAGTTGTATAGTGGGGGCCCAAGCTCGTGATTTCTAAAGGGTCACGCCTTTGTGCATTTGGTGGTGTTTATGGCTTGAAAGTAACATGAGATCCTTTGAAGGACAGGAGAATCATATTGGCGCTTTGAAGTTCTCCATTATTAGTACTCTTTTTTGCTGGGTTCTAGGGAGAAATTGTAAATCCATGGATGAGATAGTTGACTCTTTGGACCCTTTGAGAGTTTAGAGGCCCTATTTCATCTTGTGTAGCTTTTGAGGGATGTGTTCCCCTTTTGAAGGCTTCTTAATACAATTTTACTTATAAAAAAATAATAATAATGATAAAATAAAATGTTTATCCTGCTGCTTTCACTTCTTTTTCTTCCCCTCCTTGATCAAGACTCCCATTTGATCTCAATTCATTATTTTATTTGAAATGACAAAATTTTCATATAACTTTATAAACATCCTTACCGTGTATTTTTTAATTCTATTTATTCCCTACATTAAAATGAGAAACAGATATTTCTTTAAGAGTCTGGCAAGTTCAGCTACATTGGCCAATTGTTGGCCAAGTTTCTGAAACAAAAAACTTAAGTTCAAAATTTTGGACACGAGGGCTTGAAGCGTTTGTGCCATTTAAACCACTGCAAGCCACGGAAACACAAAGTCAAACACAACAATCTAGACCGAATGGTTACTCTAGCTGAGCGATCTAAAAAGAATGTTTTGTGGCAAGCCAGTAACAATTACAATATGTTATTTTTTTAAATATACATGGTAAATGCAATTACAACCTACCAAAGGGGAGGAAATATGAATACCAATTGCAATATGGCCTTATTTTATGTATACAACTCTACCAATGATATGTTCCAAGTCTTATCCTTCACACAGCTGCTCCCCAAAATGAAGAGAGGAGGAGGGTCACAGAAGGCAGACAATCAGCCTAAAACCCATGGTCCATCCTATAAGACCTCAGTCTGATGACAAAAGGATTCTTGTAGCCACCCCAAGAGTTAGGTTAAGGCATTGTTGAGTTGAACAAAAAAAAAATTATGTTTATGCAATTTATTGAAAAGTCAACATAACAATAAAGAACCTGGGGTTGCAAGCAAATTAATCTTAAAAATAATTATTTACCAGGGAAAAAATAATCACCAGGCAACAACATTCACATATAGATCTCAAACTGTGGTGCAATTAAGAAATCATTCATCATTCTGGATACATTACATATTCAAAAGATTTACAAAAAGGCAAAATGACATATATTGTAACATTTTGGGCAGCTTCAGACATCCCATGTAGATTGTAAAATTTTCAAGGGTAAAATAAAATGACTTCCCCTGAGATTTGGCCTAACTACAAGTGGAGAAAACTTTTGCCATTTTTTTTTTGCAATGACCCCCTTCTGATGGATTTGGTTACTTTTTTTGGGTGATTTTACCTTTCTACCCATATTATTTTATTATTACAAATAATAAAATATCTAGCTATATCAAATTACCATTTTGCCCGCTTACAATTTTTTTTTTCCCTTCCTCCGTTCCTTCCTTCACTCTCTCCTCTCCAGCTTCCACCACACCTCCCACCATGGCCACCGCAATGTCCAGAATGTCGCTGGAAAATCTTTTGGTCTCTGGACCGTTTTGGTAAGTTCTTGGTGTTTGTCGTGTGTGAAATTGGTTCTACCACACCGACAACGTACAGATTTCATAGTTTATCTTTATCTGGTTCATATTTTGCCGCATATTGAAATTTGGTCTGACTGGACCATACTTGTCTAACTAATTCTGATTTTTATTTTTTACTTTTTATTACAGTGACTAGTTGGGATTTAAGTCTTCCTCTAGACTAAAGTTGAACACCACAAAACAAACATGGTGTCAACGGACAGACACATATCTCCAACACCTGGTCGTTTCAATTCAAACCTCCTCTTCTCTTTCTCTCTCTCTCTGCTGAATACAAACAGCAATCTATATGTATGCATATAAATATATATTTTTATAGATCTGAAAATTAAATATATAAATATACATATATATGTGTGTGTGTGTGCATATGTACAGATCAGAAAATTAATATATACCTATTTACACACATATATATACATACATATTCATTATTCACAGACACGACCACAACCACCCGGAATTACGCCGCCGAACTTCTCTCTATCAACTCTCTCTCTATAAAGCAACAGACCCATTTGCTGCAACTTTGCTATTCATTCCCAAATACAGTAAACAGACCTAATTGCTCTTCATTTCTCTCTATATATATATGTATTCACATATACACATATATATGCATAAACATTACTCTATATATATATATGTATATAGAACTGATATGTGTATGTAAGTGAGATTTCTCAACTCTCATTTGATTTTGAATTTTGAGATTTCTATTGAAGAGGATGTATATATATATATATATATTCTTTTTTTTTCTTTTTTTTTTTTCTCTTATATTTTTGTGTTATACATGGGAATGGTGGTTCTGGAAGTGTGTGTGTGTGTGTGTGTGTGTGGGGGGGGGGGGGGGGGGGGGGGGGGGTTTGTTGTGGGAGGGAGTGAGAAGGGTATTTTTGTCGATTAAAACAAGGATTTTTTGTCATTTGGATGACACTATAAGGGTAAGATGGTTTTTCCCTTTTAGTTGATGAGCATTTTAGTCACCTCGACCAAATTTTCTGACAAAAAGGACCGAATTATGTACGAAGGGGAGGTTTTTTTCAAAAAAAGGGGCCAAATCTCGGGGGCATGCTGCCAAAAAATGCATAAGTTTCATCCTAGTGTAAATAGACCAAACCTCAGGGGAGGTCATTGTATTTTATCCAATTTTCAATGTACCATATACAGGTCATGTAAGACGCAAACATCAACAAAGTGATAAGAGAATAAATCAATACAAGTCCCCAAGGTTTAGGAAAGATGTTTCTAAGTGTAACCTACACCCCGCCCCATTCATAACCCTTTCAAATAACATGCACGATCCTTGACTATCAACCAACTTGGAGTTGATTTTTTACTACAAATAGCTTGAGGAACAAATTGAAATTTGTTAGGTTAATAGGAGTTAAGTTGGCTAATTCCGATACAAAAGCTTGAGTCTATATCTTTATGCTTTGAACACTTTTTAGACAATCTTTACTTATCACACAAAAAAAAAAAAGTCTACCTTTATGTAACTTTTAAATAGTATTTCCAAAAGTCAGGAAGAATAGTACTTGTCCAAGGGCATATTCATAAGTCAAAGTTCTAACCAAGGGCTAAAAAGTAATTGCAACTTTCATATATGCTCTCACTAATTAATGTCCGTGTATTCATGCATTCATTCAATTAGGATTTCTTAAAATTTCGTACTTTGATAAATAAAAATCCTCTTTGAAGTGCATAAACATATTTTCAGAGTTTTTACCAAATAAAATCCTAATTCTAAAATTGATGACAGATCCATCGAAGGCCACTGGCCATGTGTTGATTGATCGACACTTGACTAGATCGAGCCAAATCTGCACAAATTCAATTTCCAAATAAAAATGAATCTCTTTTTAACCTAGTCTTTATAGGCTTCTAAGTACTATATAAAGACCAGATATGTTCAGAAAAAACTATGCAAGCAATATTCAACTAATTCAGAGCATGCATAGAGCATGTGCATTCTTCAGTACAATCTAGCAATTTTCTGCTGCATTTCTTTCTTTCATATGTTTTGAGGTGTTTATCATTAATTTGTTGTGCTTCTGGAATTACCAGCACTAAAGATCAACAATACTTCGAACATAATCTTGGACGACTAGCTATGGAGAGCAATTTGATAAATGAAAAGTTGATTGTGTGGATGAGTGGATCTGTTGATGAAGTAGCTACCTAAACAATCGAGTGGAGAGTTTAATGAAAGTCTGTATGAAGAGATAACAAGGGGATTTCTAAGGTCCAAAAATCAGGTTAACCTAGTTGTAATATCTCTCTCACACAGTGAATTGATCTGCCTGGACTTATGTCTGGTGGTTTTCCCACAAGGGGATTCATATTGTGAATGCTTCCTTTACTTTTATGATTTTACATATCTTGATCAAGATGAACAGTTTAATTTACATGCTTTCTAATTAATTGATTTTTGAATTTTTTGTTATATCTGTTTAAATTAAAAGAATAGTGAAAAAAAGTTAAGTGAGCAATTAAAGAATTCACCCTCCCTCTAGGTCTAGATCACAGCCTTACACTTACCCTAATCAGAGCCTAGAGCTAGGTCTAA